AATATATTGCAGTTCACGTGCACATTAATGATATACGGATTGCACATTAGTGACTGTCATGTTGCACTATATATATGAAAAAATCATCCGAACTAAATTTGTTGAGAATGCATGCGCTGTGAGTGCATAATAATAGTGTTAGACGAATTGGACAATAAAACTATTATATTCCACAAGTAGCAACCAGAACTAAACAAATTAAAATTCGATGTAAAATTTAATATTTTCAGTTGGATTATCTAAAATATCGTATATTTCGTGTTGCTGTCGTTTTCTTATTTGGTTTCTATAACCGAACTAATTGAACTATATAAAATATTATATTCATATATATTTTTAAAATTATATTTTTTCAGCCGAAACAAAATATACGATATTAAATATAACAATAGAAAACTGAATATTATTTTTATAATATAAATAATATTTTATTTCAGATATTTTTTGTTAATTCGGCTAACCAACCCCAAAAAAAAGTTATCCAACCTAATTTAAATTTGAATTGGGACAAAAATTCTAACAGTTCAAATTACACAATAACTATAGAGATCGTGCATAGCATTATTGCCCGAATTGCACATTATTGATTGTCGGGTTGCACAACAACCGAAATAGACCAAAATATATTTTTTTTTTGTTTGAATTTTATTTTGATTCGATTATCTATTTTTTCTTTTAAATTTTGTTTATTTATATACGATGTCGGTTTTATTCTTTTAAATAACCAAAATAACGGACCGAATAAATTACGTAAAAAAACAAATATTAATAATAATAATAATAATAATAATAATATAATAATAATAATAATAATAATAATAATAATAATAATAATAATAATAATAATAATAATAATAATTCAGTTATGTTTTGATTTGTGACAAAAGTTCAATCGATTTGGTTAACTTATTAATATTGTATTAGTGTGCAATCTTATTATTAATATTGTGTACTTTTAAATTGTTAATAACTACAAATTTAACACATGAACTCAATTAAAATATAATCAAATTTCTTAAGTTGCAAATAGGGCCCTAAAACATATCTAAATTTCAAAATCATGAGCCCGATCTCATCCCCTCAAACAACTCGTACAGTCCACTCTCTGCTTATGTAGATGACCGCCTGAAACGTGTTGATGACCTTCAATGGATCCCGGCGACGGCAGGCTGAAGTCGAGCACAAACATTAAATTGAATAATGAAATCTGAATTATTACAATTGGTGCATGATTTTTTTTCTCCTCAATCTCGATTCAATTTGCAGAGACGAGTGGTGAAGGTAAACAAAAAGGATGTGCTGGCGACTACGATGGAGAGGCACAGGCGGACGCTGGTGACGATGGCCGGAGGAGGAGTAAATCGCCGGAAAACTGGTTCGCCGGCGTCGCTGGTCTCTGCGGCGGAGGTCGTGACTCCAAGGAGATGATGAGGTCGATGGTGTACTGAAA